CCCCACCTGACGCGCTTCGGAGCACATCCTCCCACCCCCTCCCCTGCACTCCTGGGGAGCTGCGCAGGACAGCCAGACCGCGTGCGTCAGCGACGGGGTGCCGCAGAACCGAGCGCGAGTAGACCGTTCGCCCACCTGCCGGCCATTCCGAGTGCTATTCTCGTGCGCCCCATACTCGTGCCCGTGACTCGTTCGCGAGTGAGCCGGATAGTCCGTTCACTCCCCTCGTGCGCGCCTTTCTCTCTCTCCCTTTATACCTTCCCTTCGTCTCTTCTCTCTTCTAGACCAATCCTCCTTCCACGGCCCTTCTCCAATCACAGAGCCAACAGGTCGCGATCAACCCTCCGCCGAAATTTTTACCAAGCTCCGACATTTTCCCGCCTCTTTTTTTTCGCTCCGCTTGCTTTGCCCCACTTTCCCGCCGACCACGGCTGGCAACTCTTCTTCTTTGTTGCTACCCATTCTCCATTCCACAACTCGCTCTCGTCAAAATTTTCGATCGAATTCCCCATTTCCCGCCTTGGCCTCGCTCTTTTTCGCTCATTCGCGCTCACTCGCCCTCTATCCATACTTACATGCTTCTCTCCAATGACATTCCTCCCTTCGCCATTCACTGGATTGGAGGCCTAACATTTTTGCGAATATCTGCTCCAGCGATCCCCACTTTCCCTCGCTCTTTCTCTCAGCTCAAGTGCGCGCGCGCCAGGTCTTCAACTGTAAAGTCTTGTCCCTCCCTGCTTCCAATCTTGGCGCAGTGTTGGCTTTAGCCTTGCTCCGCGACCTTCTTCCTTCCCACCCCTGATCCTTAGCCGAGGTTGACATCCGGGCTCAAGAAAACGGTTATCAAGACGGGGGGGTTCTTGCTTTCTTTCGTAGACAGTCATTCTGTATTGCAGATCGAGTAACCTTGTCGCTTCGGATCTCGTTTCCTGACGCAACTGCGTCGGCCAGCTCGGCCTTTCATCTTCCCAGAGGCCTTGTGACGATTCCGATGAACCCTCCTTCGTTTTATCTTTCTTCTACCAGGACAGCCCTTGTAGGCTCCTTAATCTGCCAGGTTACCGTCAGCTTTCGCCCGCTCTGCCCGCGTCTCGATTGGAACCCAGGTCCCCTGCCTGCGTGACGACCCCGTTTTCTCGGCAGGAAGGATGGTCGGGAACAGCCCACCCTGGGCCGATTTCGAAAATAACCCCGTTGTTGAGTAGAAAGCATTTTTGACGTGGCGACCATGTGCAAGCCAAACCCCGAGCCCATATAGACAGTCCATCACCGACGGGGTCATAATCAGCGAGAAAATAATTCCT